CTGCTCTATCATGTCCTTGCACAGTAGCTTATTTTAAGAAGTAAATGAGAACGAAGGATTTGACTAGACAAGACTCCTTTCTACAGGTAGAAGACCCTGTTGCGTGTGGTCAGTGAAGTGGTTAAATCCAAATGGAGGCCTTGCCTTGATCCTTTGGCATCAATGTGCACACACAGAAATAGAATGCATCATATTCAGATTTATCAAAACATCTTTCTCTAGTTCCTATTATTAAAGTAATTGTTTAGGGCTTTTCTACAATGAAAAGCACTGCAGGCTTATTTTGGATTATTCAAAGCAATTTATCTCATCTTAGAAAAGAAAAAAAATATAGATAAACACGCAGAAAGTTATTGCTGACTTAGAATGACTGCAGATCATGCAGTGCATTCCCTGTTTTTTAACGAGATCAATACCAATTTTGCCCATGGGCTGGAAGACTATTTTTAGGATGATAACATGGGTATAAAACAGAAAACAATTTTCCGTTGTGAATAAAAACAAGTACATGAAAAAAATTGTTCATCCCTGGCTAAGATCCCTTCTCCCACTCAAAAAAGTTAAATTAGGGGAAGGAAAAATACCTGTTGGCTTGACTATCCTTGGTATTACTATGAGAAATGTAATATCCATGATGAACATAGTGCGAAATACACTGTGCATTGTCCTATTTAATGTTATGTTTTCCACTGTCACCAAATGCTTGAATGCCTTGGTTCATTATTCAAACTATTATTTTGATTTGCTTCTGTGTGGGCTATAGAAAACAACAGTTAAAATGCACAGAAATTGAGAGAGAGTTCTCATTATATTAACCAGAAATAGGGAACACACAAGAATTGTCACTTATAACAGAAATTTGAGGATCAAAAGAGGATTTTCCTGTGGATGACAACGAGAGGAAGGGGCACTAGTTTGAACTTTTACAACAGAGTTGCTAACAGAGGTCTCCGAAGTGCTTTTGAAATATCTTTACATTGAAAGAAAAAGAAGTAAGACGACTTGATTTTTTTTTTTTTTTTAACATCTGTAGGGTGAAATTCTGCCCTTGTCAAAATCAATGAATGTTTTCACACCGATTTCAACAGAACATCATTTCTAATACACAGGATTCAATTATAAATGGATCTCTTTTGCAGTCCTAGTACACTTGCATCAAGGAATTTGACAAGGCTGGACGTAGCACCAGTGGCTGAAGGGAAACGTGATCAGAGATGTAAGTTAAGAAGTTCACCAACTCACGAGTCTCCAAGGGTACTTTTGTGCTGTATGGAGCTCAGAAAGCTCAGCCTCCTACCAGACCCATCCCACGTGCAGTTATGTCCTGTGTGCAAAAGGAGGCTGTACAATCTGATCATTTTCTTAATACCACTTGCACGTCCATAAGGTGAGCATATAGGCATATGAGCATCCCAATAGAAGGGAACCCTAAAATAAATCATCACAAGTTTCTAAAAAAAAACAAAGAAACAACTTTTATATTTCATGTTATTCTTTGGTGGCCCAAATTTATATTTGGCTGCCTAAATCATTCACTTAAATTCAGATCTATGTTTCTACCCGTTTGAGACAATTAGATGACGATTTAGGTGCCTTTTACTGACTTTGGTGACAAAACTTTTTGTAACAGGTTCTCGGGTTTAAAGAGTGTCTTACAGTTAAGTATAAGAAAAGAAATGATAAAAAAGTTGACAAACACATTGTGATACTCAATTTAAACTTTCGCATAGTAAACCTCAGAAAAAAGGTAATGATTCTGAAACAAAGGAAACACCTGCACTTCCAAGGATATGGGAATAAGTAAAAGGAAAGAACAACCTCTATAACAATATAAGCAATATATAACAATAAGCTCACATTCTTGGCCAGTGCGTTGAAGGACTGAATAGTCTTGTGGACTAAGTAGAGCCTAAAGCAGCTGGTATAATAAATTTTACTACTCTGCAGTAAAAATTATAAATGATTTCACTAGTTTATGCTTCACCCTGTTCCAAGGTCACTGGCTTTCTCCCAGCAAAAACAAGCTACAGATTGTTGTCACAATCATAAAGTGAGCTCAGCAATAAAGAACTCTTCTTACTCTACTACAGCTGTGCTTGGTACCAACCCTTGAACCGTCTTCCAGAGTCATATACGCAATGTTGTCTACAGCATCCCATAAAAAAGTGCAGTGCAGGCAGTGAGAAACTGTACAACAGTTAGGTACAGCTTAATTCCCGTGCTTTTTCAAAAAAAAAAACAAAACAAAGGAATTTGAGGATATGCTACTGCAGAATGAACAATTCTGAAGGTGAGATTTCCAGAGGTATTTCAGTATCTAAATATGCAAATAATCAACTGGCAGGATTTTCAGAAGTGTCTACAGCACTTAATCTACTTTTGAAAATCTAGCCCTAGCTTCTCTTCATATTGAGATCCAGAGGAGTTTGTAGTGGAATGCTAACTTGCTTTTTGATGTGGTTTTAAGACATCCTGTGCTTCCTAAGGTAGACCACTCTAGGTAGATAGTTAGAAGCTGGTGTAATTTTACGACTTTGAAGTGAAAATTTATGACTGCCTTGTCTTCAAAACCATGCAAGTTTCTTACCAGCCCGTTATTCACATGTTTTATTTTCAGTTTCTTTTAATTTATTCTAACATATATTGAAGAGGTGAAGAAGCAATCTTTACCAGGCCCCTTCATGACAAAACTTACAACAGTATCACCATGAGAATATAAATTAATCATCACGGAAGTCTGGTCCCATAACCCATAACAAACTTCACTTATACTTTAATCTTACATTCTCTTTCAGTTAGAAAGAGCAGTTGAAAATATACTGTGGAAATCAATTGTCCGTAGCTGAATGAAAGGAAATAAATGATGTGACCTAAAAAATCTTTTCTATCTCTAGTTTCCACCATCTAGGAGTTTTCAATAGTAGTTAGGAAGGTTCTCCCTTCAGTGCCTAACTACAGCTCAACTTTTCTGTAGTGTTACAGTTTGGGAGCATATTTTAGCTTACACAAATGATTATTGGCAGACAATGAAATACAGAGTTCAGAACCAAACAATAGAAATTAAAAGAGTTCATGTATCAGGCACTACTTTGGACTGCCTTTAGTATATGGTCTTGCTGAGATGGCTTCAACAAAATATCTTCTCTCCAGAAACATAACTCAGAGTACAATCAATTGAATCTTAAAATATCTCCAAGGACTTATTTAGTCATCCCTAGTTGAAATCTTTGGGTTCCTGTCACCAGATATTTGGGATTCTACTTAAATGTCAGCCGAAGATGTGAGAAGCTGTCTGCTGGTGCAACTCCCCTACGTTTATTAATTTCAGACAAAATCTTTAGACTTGTCCAAGGTATTCTTTATCCCTACTTAGAGAAAAAATAACACTTGTAATTAACTAGTTAGATACACACACTCTTAGCATGTTGTTTTCAAACAATGCACCCTTAAATTCATACACATCTCCAAAATCAACGGACAATCCAGAATTAGATTTCTGAGATGAGCAGCACTTTCTGCAAGGAAATGATACTGTCAAAGTAGAAACATAAAGAGTATATGTTGCTCCTCAATGACATGGATGCTAATCAAATTCCAGTGCAAGGCTAATCACACACAAAAATTTGCTTGATATGAAAAAACAGTAATTCAGGGTACACTGTCTTTTTTGTGATAAAAGAAAGAAAAAGATAATTGGCATTCCCATACTTTCCAGTTTATGTCATTTTTCCTGACTATTTTTTTAGAAGTATGGAAATGATATGGAGAAAGTAGAGTAAGAATAAAGTAATTGTAGATAGCAATAGAGATGAAAAAGTTCTTTCACATAATCAAATACATCCCCTGTCAACAGAAAATTATCATTGACAGTACATTTTCCAGTATTTTGTCACAGCTAAGTTACAAGAGTTACTACACACAAATTTCATTTATTGAGGGGCCATTAGTCCTTTCTCATTGTAAGGATATAGAAGAGAAGTTGATTGCGTTCAACTTTCTAAGTCAAAATACTTTACATAAACTTTGTATTATCATTAATTTAGATGCTTAGTATACAGTTTAGAAATACAAATCCATCTTTAGCACTCAGAACAGCATTATCTGAGCTGACATCAGTTACTAATGACTCGTAATCTTCAATACGATTTAATGTAAATTTACCCCTTTCTAGACACTGTTAAGATTTCATATCAAGTACAGCAGAATGATTCCAAACTGGTTAATGGAAAAGAAAAGCAAGTGCTATGATCATCACGAGGTTTCTCACCACATTCATCTCATAATCACGACAAAGATCACCTTTTTATATGCATTTTGAAGGTGAATTAGGAAAGTAACCATTCCTATATCTACATCTTCAATATCATAGTTTGGACTCAAAGACATGAAGAAACTTTCTTTGAGAAAATAATACTTTGCTGAAGTCTGTCTTCTTTCATTCAAATGATTCTTATCCTGCTTAGAATTAATAAATCTATGAAAGGCAACTCTTAGCTCTTTAATAATAATTTTCTTGCGATATAGTCTTCATAATAAGGAGAAATTACATACAGCACAGCAGATGAAAGTAAAAGTCTGTAGATTAGATTTACAATACATTACAAATGCCTTTCTGTGTGTCAGCATACTCTTTATTGAATAGGTTTCCACCACTTCCATTGTGCTGATAAAGTAGATTTTTTAAAATGATAAACGGAAAAGTTTTAGGGAACTATATGCAATGTCATGTCTCTATCCATTGCCAGAGGATATAAACTTCTACTTACATTTAAAATGACTCAATTAAAAAACCTACTGTATAAAATGACTCAACCAAGTTAACTCATTTATCTCTTTTTATGTGGATCTCAATTAGAGTCGTAACAGTTACAAGTTGCAACATAATTGCAATAGACTTCCAGTTTCCCAAAGCAGTTATACTAAGATTTAGGTTGTTCTCTATGATTTCTAAAGGGGATGAAGAGAAGGATGGGTTACAGATAAAAGAAAACCCCAGGTACCTGATCCAGTTTCCAGTGGAACTCCGCAGGACGAAAGGTGTCGGCCTGATCAAAGTCTTTGCGTAACAGAAATACTAATCGGCAGTTGTGCACGTACAGGGCATAGTGATGTCGGTTCATCTCTGAAAGGAGGGACCAATAAGATCAGTGATCTGAACTATCATCAACACTTGTTTAGGTGAATGTGTCTGAAAGCATTATACACCTAAAATACAAAACCCAACCAAATAAACCCCCCCAAAAGGATTGACTTTTCTCAATATCATGGATCATTATGGTTCTCGGGGAAACCGCATATGGTAAGCAACTTCCTAAATTACGCTGTATTAGTTTTGTTTATGGAAGCGTTATGTCCAAACTAATAAATAAAATCTAAATCAATATTTAATCTAACTAGTTTCAATGAAGAATTAGAACACTTTTTCCCAATCTAAATAATAATAATAATAAAAACCTAATTTAATTATTTTAACAATCAATTGCTACAAAATCTACAGATGCAATCACAGAGATTATCCAAGAAGAGAACCAGTGTTTGAAACTTAGGCAGACATCAGTCCCCACAATAAGTTCTCAAGCCACAATGCTTAAAGTGGCACCATTCGAGCTTAGTCACTTTTTTTTCAGACCAAATTAAATGAGGAGAGACGGTAACACACTACTAACTTTGTTATGCCCTTTGCCTAACATTTTTTCAATACACAGACTCACCTGTCTTGTCAGAGTTGCAGAGAATAGTCTCTTTCTCAGCTCTTAATCCTGGACTAGGTCCGTGTTTCATCCACAGAGTGATGGTGAATTGATCAGTCAAATTCTTCGGGACTATTCCATCTGGGATTTTGGCTCCTTGCTTTCCATCAAATTTAAAAATCATGTCATTGTTATCCATGAGAAGCCCAGCTGTCCAGTTAGTTTTTGCACTAGGAGATGGTAACAGGTCAATGGCACCTGAGGAAGCTCCTGCAAATGATATATAATGAATAACATGATGAGAGACTAATGAAAAAGCTGTGAAGATTAATTTAATATAGGCCAGGGTTCCGATTCACACTCTTTAGATTATTTTTATTACCAAAATGGTCCTACTAGCTTCACTGTCAAATCACATACACATTGATAAAATACCGACCATAGCAAGCCAATAAGAGTTCTCTAAATTAAATATATTGCACAGCAAACTATAGAAAATATTTTGAAGTTACCTTTCTTGAAACTGCTCATTATTTTCTAAAATTCATTGATGACATTTCTTCAGTTGCTTCAAGAACTGCTAAGACTAAACCCAAATTTTCTACATCCAGCTGGGAAGATTTACATCTT